TTACATTGATTTAACGAGGGTCAAGATTACACGTACAAAAACCAAACATCTAGATAACAACATTAACTGCTGGAAAACTGCAAATCCATGCAGAGCTATCTTTAAAATCAATACAGAGAGAAGCAACATTAAAATGAAGTGTAATTCAGCACAGTACATACACTTCTATTCCAAAGCATGTTTTTAGGTAAATTGCAACAATCATCTTTCCTAGCCCAATACTCTTCAATAATCTATTGGCTAACTCACATTCCATCTGTATTTTGAGGATACTCAGACCTGTAAGGGCCCCAAAAAAAAACAGAACCCCTTTTCCAATCCCTTTAATTTCTGCCAAGCTTGAACATCTTTGTGCACACAACCTGTACCACAAAACCAGCAGCATCAGGGATACTACACCACCAAGCACCACAAGAGATTTACACAAACCCAAATAATTTCTTAAAAGATAGATTTTAAGAATCATCCATCTTTCACATCAAGCAAGATTTTGGGGCAGGGAGGGTAAAACCCACTTAGATTCAATGTATCTTAAACACTGGTTTTTAATTGTTCTTAATATCACTTATTGAGAACGACAAGTACCAAATTAACTGATGCAGTGAGAGACACACATCTAGAGCTCTCAGGCTAATTTTATCAAGAAGCCACTTGAACTATGATGCCATATAATAATGCAAAATGTTTTATCAACTTATTCTTGGTAACTTATTCTCTTGCTCTTATATCATAGGGATATAAGCAATCAACATATCCATTTTTATGGAAATGCACACAGCAAAGAATTGGAAGGCATTTAGAGTGAGGTGTCTTAAAGTGCACTTTAGAAATTGACACTTCCACATTTTAAATAGTTAGATTCCACTCATTAACCTTCTGGATAGAGTAAATTTGCAGCTCATAAAAGGAAACAAAACACTGAAGCATTAGAGGCATCCTGAATTTTGTGTTGAAAGCCCCCAGTGAGCGTGCACAACTCTCATCTACTGGGTACAGCTGCTGGGTGTTTAAAAACCAATTAAAGAAAATTGAGGTCCCTTTTTGTAAGAGTCTGCCACAGTACAAGCTGGCTTGCACTGAGCAATTAATTCACTAAAAAATAAGAAACCCAGCCGGTCCCATAAACCAGCCCCTGGGTTGACTGGCAGGAACCTCAACCAATTATGTTCCATCCTTAGCTGCAGACATCTCACTGGTCCAGGAGCTGGGCAGTGTTAAAGATCAGACCCATGAGCTATCCAGTCAAACCCCCTTTATAAAGGGGGGTTGAATCAATAAATGCTCTCTGTTACCACACAGACATCGGGTGTGTGGTCATCTCTATCTCCAACCCACCCCTCTTCCCATTATACCTTTTAAGTGTGCAATTTGTGCAGGAGAAGGTGTGTTCAGATACAGATACAACCCTCCAAGTTCACTTCAAAGGGAAAAATAGGATCCAACACTGACTGCTTTCAAGCCACTTAATGGGAGGTGACAAAAGATGCACCTTGGAGCACGTTCTTTAAGTGGCACACACACTGCTTCCAATTAAAATATGCTTTGGAATCTCTTAAGTTTCCAGTCTTGGTTGCTTTCCAAGTAATGCAATTAAATTGGTAACAATATAATTCTGACTGGCAAACACTTTCTAACTTCATAATGGCAATTTAAATATAGTTGTCAGTTTTCTATGCTGAAATACCTGAATACTGAAGCTGCTATCAAATACTGACTTCTGTCATTTGAGACCTCTAAATAATTTCATTTTCTTGACACCCAGACTTCATAATAAGATGAATCTTTCATCCTGTGACACACAAGAGTCAGTCTTCATTAACTGCTTTTCAACCAAAACACTCTAAATAAAAAAGGATTCCTAACTCCATTTATTGATGAAAAGAAACAGAAAGATGAAATAACGTATATGTCTTTATTGGGGTTTATTGGTGAGCTACAGGAAGCACCAGCAAAAGAAAGCACAGTTGCTTCACCTCCCATCTTCAGACGTAAGCACGTTCCCAACATTGCTTCTCGTGTATATTGGATGAGGTTGGAAAGGCAGCTTTTTTTTTTTTTTTTTTAATGTCTTCCATGAACTGATAATGAGAAGTATTTAATTATTATTTACTATAAAAAAAGAATACAAGGAAACACTGAGTAATGCAGAAAATTTCAGACCCTAGGATCTGTCCAGTGTGTTCTCAAAGCTTTTCCCTCTCTTTCCTCCCCCCAGGTAAGGTTTCTCTCATGCACCATCTCCCTGGGTCAGCTCTTCCTCTGCTGCCGAGTCAGATCTGATGCACACACATCACAGACCTGCCAAGTGGGACTCAATGTTCCACTGATTTGGAAATGCCTGCAATGGCTAAGACTTCAAGTTTTGCCCATGTAATTAATTTAATTGGAAACAAATATTCTTAGTTATTCCGACCATTGAGAGGCTTTTGACCATACTTAAAAATTAAGACTAAAATGTTGTCTATGGTAATGATCAAGTTCAAATACAGTAACATTTAAGAGGCTGATTAATTGGGTCTTACAAGAAATTATGATATGACAGCCCTTTTAAAACTTTATTGAGTAGTTTAGTAATACATACTATAATAAGGTAATAAATTACTTAAGAGAAAAGCATTATGCAGAGATTTGGGGAAATAAAAAGTGCTGTGACCACACGGACCGATGAATTTTGAATATGATGGGGAAAAAACCCAAACCTTATGCTTCAGCATATTCTATTTTCCATAGCTGAAGACCACAAGAGACAGTTCATCAATTTCCAAGACATTAAGGCAATTCCAATAAACCAGAAAGTGTGCCTCTCTGTCTTACTGAGCAAAGCTCTCTGAAACTTCTTAAAAGAAAACATTTTTCTGTCCAAAATGGTGATTTTTACTGGACCCTATGATACACATCTCTGTGTCAACAACCTGCTGCAAAGCTAACAAATTGCATATGCATATTTAATACACCCATTAAGTTCTGTTACTAACAACCTCCTAAACATTCTGATGTTGCCTCGTATTTCTTTTTCCTTGGAAAACTTCAGAGAGTTTGTTTTGGGGGGTGGCAGGGCAGGTTCCCCCTTCTACTAATAGTAAATAATTTTTGCAGCCTGGAGATATTTAGTGAAAAAAATTGTTATTTTCTACCAAGTGAAAAGTTTGAACCAGAACTGCTCCTGTAATCCTTCTCCCCTTCCTCACAAACATGTGGGGAAAAGGAGTGGGTGTGGAGGGGGATCGGTACTGTTTTTAAAATGAGAAGCAGCAGAGGACAGTGAAGTAGATGACCTAAGATAAGAACTGAAATCATTATCTTTGGTTGCCTTTGATCCTATATATAACAGGATGCTCAGGGCACATGGGGAGCTTTGTACACAGAGCATCCTACCTTCATCTGCCACTAAAATGCACCTTCAGGCCACTAGTCCAGGTTAGGGTTACAGCACCAAGCTTTGCAATTGTGTGCACGGGATAACCAAAAAGTGCCTTTTAACTTAAAACTTTCTTCCCGGAGAAAAACAGAGCAAGGAGAAAGCACGAGGTTCTTGCTGAAATGAACCCTTTTTTATTTTTCCTCTACCGACCAGGTGGAGGAAAAAAAAGCATATCAGATATTAACTGCATACAGCGCCAAGACATCTTACCTCCTTTATTAAAACTGCCTTATAGTCTTTGAAAATACCCAATTTTAAGAAACAAGGCATATAAAGTAATAAGCAAAAATTTTAAGCATTTTAACATTAATATAAATAACATTATAATGCCTATTTTTAACCACCAACTACTGGGAGCTTGTGGCTCCTGTTATCCAAAAATGTTCTCTGCAGCCCTCCAGTGGTCAAAGGCACAGCAGAGCCCAGCGAGAACGACCCCGTTTTGTCTGATGAACTGCCGGCAGGTTAAGACATCTCCCACGAAATAAATCCTCCCAGGCTTGTCTAAAGAAAAGGTCCTTTTAAAGGAGGCAATTACTTTGAATTATATTAGAAAGCAAAGAGGAGGAAAGTAACTCCCCTCCATCAAAATGTTACGTGTTGTATGCTAACCTGCCCAGAAAACACGGCATTCCCACCAGGACACCAAGGCCCGTTGGGTCAGTCAGAGAAAGAGCAATTAATTTCCTACAGTCACTTTCTGCTATTCATACACGTAAATGTAAACAAAGTCAAGTAACATTTGCTAGAAAGAATCAATTTCCTCACAAAGTTACGGCTCAATTAGCTGGTTGGGGTCTTGTTAAGAAAACAAACACTGAAGTTTTCTCGCACAGATACTCACAGATAAAAAAAAAAAAAAAAAAAAAAAAAAAAAAAAAAAAAAAAAAAAAAAAAAAAAAAAAAAAAAAAAAAAAAAAAAAAAAAAAGCAACTGAAACATTTGGAAATAACAGAAAAAAGACCGAGACAGAGTTCTCAAAACTAAGTTTCTAAAACCTGGGGCTTAAAAGCCAGTCCTAAACTGCATGGAAACAATGTAAGGGAAAAGAAAACAAATAGTGTCAAGAAATCCCCGACACCTGTGCGGCCAGAGCTCTCGGAAGGGCACGGCTGGCTGGGAGATGGGAGCAGGCGGGAGCGCTGCGGAGCAGCCGGAGCCCCGGCGCACCTGCGGCACCGCGGTCGGTCCCAGCCCGGCCCGGGCACCGGCAGCGCTGCTCCTCCGCTCCCGGCCCGGGCGGCTCCAGCGCTGCTCCTCCGCTCCCTCCGCCCGGCCCCGGCGTGCGGGGGCGCAGCCTCGGCCCGTGCCCGGCTCTCGCCGGAGCGGCCCCGCAGCATCACCGCGGCGGCGGCGGCACCTCCGGCCCGGCTGCTCCCGCACGACCCCGGGACAGCCGCGGCCGGCGAGCCGCGGGCACCGCTGCCGAGCCGCCGAGGCTCCCGCCCGAACTTTGCGCCCTCCGTGCGGGGAGCGGCGGCTCTGGCCGGCAGCCCCGCTCAGCCCCGCGCGGGGCGAGGACCGCCGCGCTCCCCGCCGTCCGCGGGCAGCCGCGCCCAGCCCGCGCCCCGGTACCTGCCTTTGGCGGCGAGCAGGCTGCCCAGCCCCAGCGGGAGCAGCAGCAGCGCCGCCGGGCCCCAGCAGCAGCAGCGGCGCCTCCGCATCCCCGGCCCTGGTGCCGGCTGCTGGCCCGGCTCCGTGCGCTGCGCTGCGGGCGAGCCGGCAGGCGGAGGCTGCAGCCGCCGCGCCGTCCCTCGCCCTCGCTGCCAGCGCCGGGGCGGCTCCGGCCCCGCCCGGGACCGCGGCGACGTCACGGCGAGGGCAGGCCCGGATATTCATGAGCCGGGGCAGCGAGGCCCGCACCTGCCGCGTAGGTGTCACCGCAGCCCCGCGGGCAGCGCGGGCCCGGGCCGGGCACAAGCGGTGGGCAGTGAGGGAGACGGGGCGGAGAGGAAGAAAACGAGGCTTTGGTGAGGGATGCGAAAGGCGCCGGGAAAGGGAGACACAAAGGTGGCGGCTGGAAGAAAGGAACGGAGAAGGAAAGATAAAGTAACTGTTCAGTAAAGTTGGAGGGAAACAGAAGACCTTGGAAACCCAAGGTGGGTTGAACATGAGATGGTTTTGTTGGAGGGAAAGGACAAATCGCAAGGACAAATGATAAAGGGGAGAAATGGACGAGGAATGGACAAAGCCGAGACACAGACTGCCCTGGCGGGGCGCGGTGCACAGAGGCTGTGGGGTCGGGCTGCGGAGGCAAGGAAAGCCGCGGCTTGGGGCCTTGCAGGTGCAGCTCGCTACTAGGGCTGCAGACAGCTGAGATACCCCAGCAGGAAAGCGCCGACAAACACGAGGACACCCACACTATCACATTAAGAATACATTACAAGGTATTAGCTCCATGTAAGCTATGAGAACCACCAGGAATTATTGTACCCTTCAAACTTCTCTCCCTGCTTCAAATGCTCCCTCATCTGTGCTCTGTCCCATAAATTATCAAAGCCACCTAACTCTGGAAAAAGCAGTACTTGTGAATCACTGCTCCAAGGGATTCTTGTTGGTCACTGGGCTGTGGGAGCATTGTCATTCTGAGTGATGTCGGGAGGCTCTCCTGAAATGCTCCCTGACCACCTCGTGCCTGCGAGCAAGCCCAGGGCTGTCCCACAGAATGCACTGCAACTTTGGTGCCACACACAACACAGTAGCTGAATAAAATCATTTGGGTTTAGGTCTCTATCTCTATTCCTCTCCATTATTTTTCCTTATATGTGGTGCTAGAAGCATGAATCATTGAGCAAAATGCATTGAGTAGATGGAATGCAGGATTCTCTCCTCCTCCTGTCCACAGACAGAGAAAAATTGGGATGGGATACAGAGACGAACCCAGGCCCTTTTCCAAACCAGAGATGTAGTGTTTCATCTGCTAAGGAAGACAGACGGAAATACACATTTACTCTTACATTGCATTCAGACAAAAAATAAAGTCCAAATTAAAACTATTGGGACAAATGTCTTAAAGCTCTTTTTGGCTGCTTGTCTGATTAGTTATAGAATCTGCTTTCCTGTAATCTCTATTGTGACCTTCAGTAGAATAGTAGAATAGTGTGTAGAACGAACAGGGAAAATCAGAAGTAAAGTAACTTTGAATACCAGAAAACTAGGCAGAAATTATTTTTTTTTGCCACCATTCACTTATTTTAAAAACTTTAAAATCGATAGAACTTTATTTATAAATAAACAAATACATGAAAATAGCGGCAAACAGCATAAGCATTTTTTAATGCAACAACCCACCTTGTGAAAGGTGAGAAATACGACCTAACACTCTGAAATAGATATAAATATATATAAACACAGCATCATCATTCAGAGGAGGGTATTTTCCTACGGGGAACCAGCAAGTCTTTGAGGGACCTAAAATTAGAAAATACTGCATTTTTAGCATAAGCCTGTTATTAACAATCCCAAATAAAACTGAATCAGTGGTGGGACGTAGAGCACAGGTTTGCAAGGCAGATGTTGTACAGGAACAAGCATGTCCTCAGCCAAATTACAGTCTAAATAAATAAGCCATATAACAGAAATAAAAAGGGATAAATGCTGTTCCATTCCATGGGGAGGGAGCTGAAGCACAAAAGAAGAGGCCTCACCAAGAGACAACATTACAGTGGTGTCAGAATCAAAACCTAATTTCAGCTCTGGTACCTTAATCAAAAACTCTCCTCCTTTTTACCTGACTGCGTGAGTTTATTGATGTGACAGCCTGGGTGTTCTGCAGTCTTCTGCTGGTGTCTCATACAGGAGATGGATGTAGATGGATAGAAAGGTTTACAAACAGTAATGATGATAGGGCACTGTGCAGGAATTTATAATAGGTAATTGCCTTTACCTCTTCTATTTAATGCTGACTTGCAACCCAGTGTGTCCATTAACCCCTACAGCCGTCATCGGGGCTTGAGAAAGCTAGTGGAAAATCCTTCAGTCATTTTATTCTTTCTTTCTAATCATTGCTTAACTGAAAGAGTGTGTCCTTCAATTTTTCCTTGCATACATTTTTGACAGAACCATTGCAGCAGGGAGATGTATTCTTTATTCCCAAAGAGGAGCATGCTGAAGGATTACCTCTGACCTGAGATCCATCCATTCACATGTCTAGAACCGCCACTTTCTCCTGACGTGGTTTATTGGTCCTGTAAAATAGAAATTCTAAAACAAGGGGGAAAAGGTCACAGCCATGCATTCCCTACGAATTATTGACACAGACCTGGCACCAGAGCCAGTCAATCAGAAAGATCCATTTGAGTTTCAGATGTAAAGATTATTTTTATCATAATTTCCCTAGCATGAATTCAAGATATTGCTGGAGGCCAGGATTTAACCCTGACAGGCAGAATTTGCTGAAGAAATCGGGGTTGCTCCAAGGTCATCATCATATATCGGGACATTTAGCTGGGAGCTTTAACTGTTGGGATGTTCATGTTTTCCGAATAAAAGCCTTTAATATCAAGGTGAATATTAGATTTTCTAAGTAACACAGAAGAGAGAATTTAGCAGTAATGTTCAGGTATAAAGTGGGGTACTCTACTGTTAAGTGCATTACACTCCATTAGTTAAAAAATAACAGAAACAACAAAAATAAAGGAAATCATATGACTCTGTTTTAACATTAAAAGGTACTTTGTCATCCATAGAAAAGAATTTACATACTGAAAAGAATTCAGTATGTAAATACACATAATTCAGATCCTACAGCAAACCCCATTGCAGCACTGGTTGTATCATCAGAGTCTACAGTTTAAAGTTCTTCACAATTTTGTTTTAAGACATGTTTGTGTAACGCCAAAAATGGGAAGCACATAACCTGATTGGGTGCCTATAGTCATGATTCTAACAATTTTAATGTATAGTTAGAAATAACCAATCAGCTAAGGTACAGGAATCTAGATAAGATCACATTTAGGAGATGTTTACATACTACCCAAGAAAAAATGGCAGCATATTTTTATGTTGGAGAAAAAAAAAAAAAAAAGGAAAAGGAGCATAAGTCTAATTTTAAAGAAGGAAATGTATTTAAAGTAAAACATTACAGAACATGCATTTTCTCTGATATATGGAAGTTTGCTATTGCAGTCACAGGATAGAAAAATAAGTTTCCAATAGAATGGAAGTAGATTTTGGGGTTGCTGGTGAGTATAAAATAATGGTTTTGCTGTGTGCCAAATGCAGGAGGAATAGCAATGATGTAATTTATGTTTCCTCCCAACAAACATGAAGTAGGCTTAGGGCCATCTTGATTGTTTGCTCTTGCTGCATGTCTTTAAACTCGCCTTGGACATCCGAGGACATGAAGAGAATGAGGCAGCATTTTGCTACTCTACCACAGGGGCCATTGCCTGTGTAGAAATTTGCAAGCATTTCTGCAGACGTCTGCAGGTCAGGAACTTTCAATAAATAAGCATCATGGCCATCAAGCAGAACAAAACAGCCTGAGAAATGAATATAAATATAAACATTGCTTCCCATATACACTGCAACTGCTAATGTCTTAATTAAACAGAAGAAAATTGACCTAAATTATTTATTCTTAATAAATGAACCATCTGAATAATAAATATGTGTGTTCTGTAACCATCAGGGAGGTTTTTAAACAAAAGGGCCTTTTGCAGAAGGAAAAATCACATGAAAGCAGGGGGAGACAACTGCATTTGTTTAAATACCATTAAGAACCCAAGCAAAGCCAAATAGCTGTAATGGTGGGAATTAATACTGCTGACAGGCCATTGCATTGTCCTGTACACTTTGTGCACAGTGCTGTAATTCCTGTTTGAGAATACAGATGGGGGCTCTGAAAGTGTATTTAATCCTGCAGTGGCTAATCAGAATAATGGAAATGTGCACTCAACTCCTCAGCTCTGGTATTTGAATCCTCAACACTGAACCCTGCTGCCTTCAAACTCTGCTCCTGTCACGCTCCTCAAAGACAGCCAACCTGGTTTAGGCTGCATTAAAGGCATGTGGGTTTAATTGTTATTTCCAAACAAACCTTCCTGGGTTTTATCATGAGAGATCACTAAATAAAATCATGTTACATGCTAAAAGTCAATCTTTCTTAATCACATCCAAGCAGATCTTTGATGGACACCTGTGTAAACCACTTGTTTGTCTTTTCAGTGCAAGCAGAATTATTGGGTGCTATTACCCTTCTTTTGTGTTACCAATTTGGATCTTTCATTTAAGACATTTATATGTAAGACAATTTACATTTTATGTAAAGAAAATAGAATTTGGAAGCAGAGATAACATGTTTTTATAGCAATAATGAGATTGTCAGCAGAGAACAAGAAAACTAGCAAATCTATGGAAAATTTTTAATGAAGGTAACAAAGGATTTCAACGTTAACATTGGATCCAAATTGGGAGAGATACAGTTAAAATTAAAAATTGGAAGTGAATAAGTGTTTTGCCTATAGCCAAGATGTAATTTTAAGAAAATTAAACTAGGAACACACTGAATAAATATTTTTTTTATAAATTCTGGGAAGTCTGACTTAGAATTAGTTTTTGATGCCTGTATCCAAAGGTGTCAAAACCCCTGGGTGTAAGTCACAGCTAGGGCACTGTCTCAGATCCTGACTAGTCAGGCAGAGAGATTAATGCCTCCAGCAGAGCTACAATTGCAGCCTCCCACATCCACTCACCAGAAATTCCTTCCCCTTCTGAAAGTTTGGGCAATGCAGTCTTATATGTGCATTTAAACTGGTGGCT